AGAGACCTGGTGCACTATGTGCCACAGAGTTCCCAAACGACCCTCCGTAGGTTTTAAATTCAGAGTTGTCCTTCTCCTAGACCAGTTGCCATCCAAGGCTATAGAACACAGGCTGGTCTGCTATTTACCCATAGCTGGAGGGAGAAGAAGAGGATTCAAACCTTTCTCAAGGGTATTAGCACGTAAGTGAATGTAATGGATTCGACTGGAACTCGAACTCGGCTCTCCGATTCCAAGCTGCCTCCACAAAAGTCTGGATGGTTCTGCAGAAAACGTTCACCAGTATAATCAAATCTCATGTGCTGGTGTCGGGCTGTCGGTTCCTAGGAACTCATCTGCTTGAGCCTCATACGCCGAATTTTACGGAAGAGTCGTGTATGTGCTTAAATAAATATCTAAATTAGTACAGTGTAACCTGGATATAAGAGACCCGTATATAAGAGAGATTTTCTCTGGTCCCAAATTAGAGCCTGTGTTATTGTATATAAAATAGACCAAGCCTTATATAAGAGAAACCTGGATATAAGAGACTTCTTCCCCGGCCCCGACAACTCTCTTATATCCGGGTTACACTGTATTTAAGCATAGCCACAGATATACATACATACATTTTATTCTTTTTGTTTTTGAATCTGGTGAAGTCATGAATGGCAAAATGCATAATCAAATCTATTTTGAATCAAAATTACACAAAAATATCTTGAAATACTATAGAGTAAATTTATTCAATAAAATCGCCATTGACTTTAACCTCGGCTTCCAAACGACTTTGTAATTCTTCTGAACAATCTCCTTGATTAAGTTGGTGAATGCTGCCATAATCTTTACCTTCAGTTCATCTTTGGTGCTACAAGGAACTTTTATTGGTCTCTCGCTCAACTGCGCCCCGCACGTAATAAACAAGGGGGTTGCAGCCTGGGGAGTTAGGTGGCAAGTTTTAAGGGGTGATGTGGCCGAAGAAATTGTCTGATAGCTATAACTGGCTTCTCCTAGCCGTGTGACATGGTGCAGAGTCCTGTTGCCGCATATAGGATCTTCCTGCAGCCATCCATTTGACACAGGGCAGCACTACATTCTGAAAGCACTCTATGTAGGCCTCCGTGTTAAGTCTGAGTCCCTCTGGGAAGATGAATGGGGGTATAACGTCGTTATCACTAGTGATCACTCCAAGCACCTTCGTAATCACCATTGGACTCATCCAACTCTTTCCAAACACTCTGAAATTTTCGTATTGGAGCTTCCGGAGTGGTTTGGTTTGGTTTGGTTTGGTTTGGTTTTGGTTTGGTTTGGTTTGGTTTGGTTTACGGTATATAAATCTTAATGGGTCATTTAATGCCGACAACTTTTTTTTTCTGTTAATATTTTTGTTTTATCAAGAATCTATTTCTGCTAATATTTTTTTTTCCTCAAAAATATATAGCTGGTAATATTATTTTTAACAAAAACGTATAGCTGGTAATATTTTTTCAAAAACGTATTGCTGGTAATATTTTTTTTTTCTTCAAATATTTATTTCTGGTATTAAAACATATTTTACACTTTTATATTGCTTTTTACCTCAGTTTCGGGGTTAACTATTTGCCCATAGCTGAGACCCTAACAGGTGCTACCATCCGGGTCAAGATGAACCCGGGAACGCCAGCAATTAAGAAGTGGTTCCACAGTCCTCAAAGCTTCCTGATCAGAGGTCTTGCTGTTAGACGTAGTTTGTCGTCTGACCCTGAACGCGGATGTAGTTTATCGTCATACCGAGAACGGCTTCCGGTGTGGATTCCAAGCAGTGCAGCATGCCGTTTCCAAAGTTCTGGTAGAATGAATTGCGATATGGTGCTCTTTTTTTGCTCACTGACGGTGTCCAACTGACCTTACTATAGTGTGCAGACGACAAAATCAGAAACAAACAACGCGCATGCGCGAAATTAGAAATATAAAATAGCGACAATTTGCCTATCGCACCCTGTATATGTATCATATTACTACATATGTTTAATTTCGCATTTATACATGTTTATATAGACCGATTCGTTTAGGTGCGCACACAAATACAACAAAAAACATAGCTATCATATAACTTTTGGACAACGTTTGCTTATTATATACTGTATTTGTCCGTTATTGTTTTTTATATGTTTATTTTTTTTTGCAAAATGTTTCATTTCTTTTCTTTTTACGCCGTCATCTTTAAAAGGAAACTAAAACTACTAAGCAAACCGTTACATTAAGAAGCAAAATAATAAATATCATCAGGGGAACGGACACACCCGAAGCAAGAAAAGATGGCGGACGAAAACTGAATATACAGCTTTTGAAGCAATCAACATTATTACTTCATGTACCTTTGCCCCACCCACCAACACTCACACCGCAAGGAGAGTCACAACATTCCTACCGCAATGACTATTTCTTCCATATTTACTACAAAGGCGTTACACTCTTTTTACCAAAGAACGTCTTTGATATTTTCTTTCAATGCCTTCAGGACGTAAGCCATCATCTCCAGTTTTCTTTATTACCTGCAAATTGCCGTGAATTTGGGGGGAAGGAAGGATAATGGAGTGTTATCCCGTTGCTTTCTAATGCAGTTTTGAATTTTGAATTGTCATTCTCTTAGACTGATTGCCACGCAAGGCTATAGAGAACATTCTACCCTACTATGTACCTGGGGTAGTGGAGTGGTTTCCCGTTGCTTTACACACAGTTTGAAATTCTGAGCTGTTCTTCTCTTCCATTGACTACCACCAAAGGCTAGCGAAAACACTCTACCCTGCTATTTAACCTATAGCCGGAAAATTTATGACCCCCAAGTCCTTCCAGGAACTCGGCCGCCATGGATCTATACAAAAAGTTCTTCATTATCTGTGCTATGACTGCTTAAGAAAGGTAGTGGCGTGTTTTTCTGTTGCTTTCTAATCAGTTAGCTCAGTTATGTGCCTTGCATGATACATGACTGACGAGGCAGATTTTTTTCACTCAGTAGGTCGCCATTTCTTTCTGCGGTTGACCAGTTGCCATCCAAGGCTATAGAACCCGGTCTGTCCTGCTATTTACCCATATCCGGTGTGGGGAGAGCCATACCTTTCCCAAAGGTATTAGAACGTAAGTGAATGTAATAGATGCGGCTGGAATTCGAACTCGGCTCTCCAATTCCTCAATCCGAGCCGCTATCCATTACTCCACCGTTCTTTTCTTTTTTTTCTTTTTTTTTTTTTTTTTTTTTTTTTTCGAAGAGGTTAAAATGTTGCATTTTTCTGTGACCGGTTGCACTATCAGTCAGTTATGTGCCGTGCGTGATACACGCTTAGACGATCATGTATCCTTCGATACATGACTGACGAGGAGGGATTTTCTTTCTGCGGTGGACCAGTTCTCTCAAAATTTGTGGGAAGGATAATGGAGTGGTATCCCGTTGCTTTCTAATGCAGTTTTAAATTTTGAATTGTCATTCTCTTAGAGTGATTGCCACGCAAGGCTATAGAGAACATTCTACCCTACTATGTACTACTTATAGCTGGCATAGTGGAGTGGTTTCCCTTTGCTTTACCTGCGGTTTGAAATTCTGAGTTGCTTTTCTCTTCTATTGACTACCACCAAAGGCTAGAGAAAACAGTCTATCCTGCTATTTACCTATAGTTTAGGATCCTCCATTAGGTCACGTAAAAAAGCAGCATATCACGATGAAAAAAGGTCCATAAATCAACGAAAACATAGTTTTGTCTCAATATATTTATGTTGTAATAAAGAGGAAAGACGAAAGTATTTTTTAATTTTTGACATTTTTTACTCCATTCTCACACGTAGAAAATGTTGGTTAAAAATTTTTTTTTTTTTTTACAACAGCGCGATAAGTTAAAAAAAAAAAAGGTTTGTTTTATTTTGCGCTTTTCCCGAGGAAAACACACGTTAATTAGGAAATTCTTGCAAAAATCAAATAATTGTCGGATTTTAAAGAAATTTTCAGGACTTATTCCTCATTTTCTGTAAATTGCTATGACTCCTAGCTCTGTTTTGATTTTTTAATTGTCTTTGTCTTAGAATGGTTGCCAATCAAGGCTATAGAGAACTCTCTACCTTACGATGTAGCTCAGGTAGCTCGGGAAGCATAGGGGTTTCCCGTTGCTTCCTCCACGGTTTTGAATTCAAAATGCTCCTTTTTTTTTTTAGACTGTCACGTCTCGAAAGCCTCGGTGAGCTGAAGACGGAAAGGAAATATAGATTAACGCCTTCCTGAAGGACATTGGGAAAAAAAAGTCAATGCAATGGACGAGGCTAGAATTTACACACATCTCACTGTTTCTACTTTCCAGATTGTTAACCATTACAAGGACAACCATATTTCTTCACTTATTCTTACATTTAAATGAAATCTCACGCAGTATGTCTTATTAATTTCTTTTGTTTTTTATCGTTATTTCTTATGTCTTTTGGTTTGAAAAACAAAGGAAAAAAACTTTTTTTTTCTTACATTATTTCTTTCAAAAAATTTGACTTTACATTATTTTTCATTATGATTAGAAAAAATTGAAATGTTTCATAGTGCTTGTTATTAACGTTTTTATTACAGTTTATTGATTCATTGATTTGGGCTTTTTACGACTTATATATTTTTGGAGTGTAAGAATATTTTGGAGATGATCATGATCTTCTTATTGTTTAAGATTTGTGGTCTTGAAATCCGTTCTTTCATTCTTTCTTTCCTTTTAAACTATGTCGTTTTTTCTTTCTATCTTTCGTTATTTAAACTGTTGCTTACGTTCTTTCTCTTACAACTCATCATTTTCTATTCTTTCTCTCTTTCTTTTCAACCTCTCTTTCTTTTACAACACCTTCGCTATCCTTTCCATTCTTTCTTTCTTTATTTCTTTCTTCAATTCTTTTTTCTTTCAGTCTTTCATTCTTTCTTTCTTTAATTCTTTCTTTCTTTCTTTTTCTTTCAGTCTTTCTTTCATTCTTTCTTGAACTTTTTTATTTCATCCTTTCTTTTTCTTTCAATGTTTCTTGAGCTTTTTCTTTCATTCTTTCTTTCTTTCTTTCTTTCTTTCTTTCTTTCTTTTACAAAACCTTCGCTATCCTTTCCATTCTTTCTTTCTTTCTTCAATTATTTTTTTCTTTTTCTTTCAGTCTTTCATTCTTTCTTTCTTTAATTCTTTCTTTCTTTCTTTCTTTCTTTCTTTCTTTCTTTCTTTTTCTTTCAGTCTTTCTTTCATTCTTTCTTTTTTTTCAGTCTTTCATTCATTCTTTCTTGAACTTTTTTATTTCATCCTTTCTTTTTCTTTCAATGTTTCTTGAGCTTTTCCTTTCTTTCTCTCTTTCTTTCTTTAATTTTTCTCTTTCTTTCAGGCAATATACAGCTTACGGTCAAATCACGCTGAAAACGCCGTTTCTCGCCCGATCACCTCAGTTAAGCCATCTCAAGCCCGGTCACTAATTAGATGGGGAATCGCTTGGGGAACACTATAATCGACCTCTTTACAATCCAAAATATGTTTTGACTTTATGTAAGCCATTAAGTGTTGATAAACCGTCAAAAACAAAATCAATCAATCATACGGTCAGTCGGTTAAGTGCCCTGTGTGAAACAGGGACGAGGTTAAACCTCACTACTCTAACGTTATCTGCCTGACTTTTAGGATTTTTTTTTAACTTTGATCTTCTTCTTGCGAGGCTATGAGAGACTCTCGCTTTTCCTTCTCGCGTTGGCCGCTTAATAAACATCTTGTTATCCAGTTGCCCCGTGTTTGCACATACATAAGCTACGATGGATCAACCACCTGTTTACATGTTGAGAGCATTGACTGACCTCCATTGAGGTTCAATTCTACACATGGTGACAGTGCATCTTCCTTCTCTAATAATCATATGTTGCTGTATGACATCGAATGCAACGTCTCGTTCGGTATCTATTAGGGTGAGCACAGGAGATGTTGGGGCCCCCACAGATCAACTCCTCTTTGAACAAAGGCTCTTTATTGACATGATTCACACATCTGGTATTTACTGGCGTGGATCACATACTACACTATTACAACATCTCACAACAGGATTTATTCAAGTGTATATATATATATATATATATATATATATATATATATATATATATATATATATATATATATATATATATATATTATAATATTAGAATATATATATATATATATATATATATATACATATATATATAAATTTCCAAGAGGATAAAATCCAGGTAGTCCAGGATAGAGCAAGAATATAATATGTCCAGAAGAATATAATATAAAAGGCTCAAACACTATTATTCCATGGTTATAATTTATTGCATTAGAATCACAATCCAATTCATCAAACCTAAAATTCAAAAAGAAATTGGAATAAATTAAAACCACCTAATATTAGTGTTTGAGCCTTTTATATTATATTTTTCACACACACACACACACATATATATATATATATACAGAATAAATCCTAACGAGACAGGCAAACCTAGGTAGGTTTCACCTAAACAGAACTTCAGGGTAGACTGGCTATATATATATATATATGTATCATTAAAGACGATCCGAACACCTTACGTTACACCTATCCGACCATAGCTCCATTAGAACTCATTTAAATAAACACACAGACTTACCAGATTCCTTCCGAAACATACAAGCAGAAAATTAAAAAATAATAAGCTCATCCACATGTAAAAAAGATAAAAAATAATGGAAGTCTTAATAATAAAATAGCAAAAGCCAACATTCAATAATATCAAGTACGAACACGGCCACAATTTGTTGTTCGAAAATAAATATATATATATATATATATATATATATATATATATATGTCGAAAAAAAAAAAAATATATATATATATGCGTTTGTGTGTGCGCGCACACGGGTGTGTATGTGGTTCCAGGTATTGTTATTTGTTTCATTAAATGTGTTTGTCGTTATCTATTTCTTAAAATGTGTTTCTTTCTAGTAAAACTCATCTTTTAAATAGATAGATAGATAGATAGATAGATAGATAGATAGATAGATAGGAACATATAGCTAGCTAGCTAGCTAGCTAGCTAGCTAGATAGATAGATAGATAGATAGATAGATAGGAACAGGTTGAGATAGATAGATAGATAGATAGATAGATAGATAGATAGATAGATTCAAGCAGATGGTTTCAGAAAGAAAGATAGTAACTAAACTTAATTTTAGAATCATAGTAAGAGGATGCTGCGCCAGTTTTCCAGGCGGGGAGGACCTGCCTGCCTTTAAAATTAAATCTCCCACATTCTATAAACTCATAAACACAACTTCACGAAACCTTATCGTGCTGGAAACTCAGATATCCCATCGGGAAATTTGACACCTTTTCTCCAATTAGGGGCCGCATGGGTGCTTGCAGGTGTTCGCAGGGCCGGGTATCGCTTCCTTCGCTTCAGACAACCAATATACGTTCCTTATTTCCTTTTTTTCCCACAAAACTTACCATATGTCATGCCGTATCAAATCTAAGCCATTGGTCAGTCCTTAAGACCGCCGTAATTCCAAGGCTAAGACCTCTGCGTCAACTCTTAGCATGTTCATATTCGCTTTTAACGCCTCATTTTAATTCCCTCAGAGTTTTGTAGACTTTGTTGATTAGAAATGAATTTTGCTTTGATGTCTGATGGGCTGACATTTGTAAGTTTCTTAATAAATGAATGGATATTAACTCTTTCGTTCGTATTCTTTCTTTTTATTTCTTTCTTTCTTTCTTTCTTTCTTTCTTTTTCTTTCTTTCTTTCCTTCTTTTTTCTTTCTTTCTTTCTTTCTTTCTTTTTCTTTCTTTTTCTTTCTTTCTTTCTTTTAAGCGTCTCTTTCATTCTTTTGCACTATGGCGCTTTCTTTCCTTTTCTTTCCTTCTTTCTTTCTGCTTTTCTTTCTTTCTTTTCTTTTCAATATTTTTCTCTTCTTTTTTTTTACGCTACGCCCTTCTCCATCCCTTCTCCCTCTCTCCTTTTTTTCTTCTTTCTTCTTCTTTCCTCCTTTCCTTTTTTCTTTTCAGTTGTGTCTTTTTATTTCTTTTACACGTCATCCCCCTCCCTTTCTTTCTTTCTTTCTTTCTTTCTTTCTTTCTTTCTTTCTTTCTTTCTTTCTTTCTTTTAAAGCCTTTTTTCTTTCACACCACGTCGCCTTCCATTCCTGTCTTTCTTCCTTTCTTTCTTTCTTTCTTTCTTTCTTTCTTTCTTTCTTTCTTGAATTTTCTTCTTTTTCAACCTTTCTATTTTCTTTCTTTTCAGCTCTTTCTTTTTTTTATACCTCCTCTATTCTTTCCTTTCTTTTCTTTCTTTCCTCTAGTATACAGCTCAAAACACCAGTCCTCATCCGATCACCGAAGTTAAGCAGTGTCGATCCCGGTCACTAATTCAATGGGGGAACCGTTTGGGAACAGAGGGTACTGTAAGTGACCTCTTAAAAACCGAAAGAGGTTTTGACTTTAAGTAGCCCACAAAGGGTTGGTAAGCCATAAAAAAAGCAAATCATTCAATAATATAGTAAACAAATAAGTACTTCACCTGTCACTCATACCTTGTCATGAAAAGTCGCTAGAATGGTACTTCTTTTCCAAAGGTACTCTAGGAAAGGATACCTCTAGAAAAATTCAGCTAGTGATTAAGGAAGTGGATCAATCAAGAAATGGTGTGTAGCAAACAGGAATAAGAACCAAAAAAATAAGTTCTGTGTTCAAAAATAATAGGTTCGAATATATTTTATTCTTGATAAAGCTCTAAAATTGACAGAGAAGTTTTTTTTTTAAAGTTAAATTTTGGTTACGCTGTAAAATTGTTCCCACTGCCTTTTTTATAAATATTTTCATGCTAATTGTTCTGATGAACTTTCCTCTATGTGGCTTCATTGGGGTTTCATTTTTAAATGTTATTATTTTTATTCCCCACTCCCTAGACAAATTGTACATATGGAGACTAGTTAGGACTACATACAGACTCTGAGGTATTATGTTGGCTGTAGTAAGAATGGTGTTGTTTTGGTGTAACGAATACTGTGGTATATTTGGTCAGGAATCGTGGCTAGCTAAGTTTAAGATAAGACAGATTGAAAACCAGCTTCCGTCAGTCACCCCTTATATATATATATATATATATATATATATATATATATATGGTCTTGTTACTCCTGTTAATTCGCCCTCCAAGTTCTCCACTGCCTTAACCGGGTATTGAACTCACACTCTTTGAGCCCTGTCACTGAATATAACTAACGCCTGAAAAACGAAAATAAAACATGAACAAAATAAATATTACTTTTCTTTATTATTATTTTTATTCTCCCTGACAGACAAATTATACATATGGGAACTAGTTAGGACTACATTAGGACTCTGAGGTATTATGGTAGTTGTAGTAAGAATGGTGTTTTGGTGTAAGGAATACTGTGGTATATTTGAGTCAGTGGCGAGCTAAGTTTAGGATACGACAGATTGAAGATCAGACTTCTTCTATCCCACCTTTCGCCTTGTATTACTCAAAATAAATATTACTTTCCTCTCTGGCACCTAGACTTTATGAATTTAATCGCAGTACTAGATTGGCGGAAAGGTCTCATCATTTTACAGTTGAAATGGCTAGATGGAACTTTAAGTTCTACCCAGTCAACAGTGATATTCAAAAATTTAAATGCAATATCAAGTGTTATCTTCAATCTTCTTTATTCTCGATCTGTTATTGTCTTATCTCCTTAAAAGTATATTTTCTCATATTTTCTAACACTTGCGTCTTAGTGGCTTTATACCCTTGTTTGGCGTGAAATGATATTAATATTGACTTCAATGCTGTCATTAAATTAAACTTTCCCTATTTTCTCAAAATATTTGTCTTTGTAAACGTTCTTTAAATATATATATATATATTTTAATTGAAACGTAATGTTCCTTGGATTTGTTCATGGTTAATAATGTGAAATTTGGAAAATCCAGTAAAAATTATTGGAAGAGAGGAAGGTATTCTACTATAATTTATAGATATTATATGACGTATCATGTATATTAACAATGCAAATATTTGTTTTAAAATTTAGGAAAAATAAAAACTGACTGATAATGTGAGTATATATATATATATATATGAAGAAAAATTTGGAAAAAACAAACAAAAATCATAAATCTCAAAAACAGATAACTGAAAATTTTAAAATGATCAGCTTTCAGTTATCTGTTTTGGATAAGACTTTGTTGTTTATGTCCATCGTCTTTGTCAAATTGAACTGAATTGTATTTTTAATGAATATTGTCTTGAAAAGGTTTATTAAAACTGAAACGTCAGACGTCGACATTTCATTCATTTTAAAAAATATAATTGCATTTATGATTTTTGTCTGTTTTTTCCAAATTTTTTCTTCATTCTGTCGAATCTATATCCATTTACATATTATATATATATATATATATATATATATATATATATATATGGTCTTGTTACCATATATATATATGTACATATATATATGGTCTTGTTATATATATATATATATATATATATATATATATATATATATGGTCTTGTTACTCCTGTTAATTCGCCTCTCCAAGTTCTCCACTGCCTTAACTGGGTATTGAACTCACACTCTTTGGGCCCTGTCACTGAATATAACTAACGCCTGAAAAACGAAAATAAAACATGAACAAAATTAAATAACACCTTTATCTACTGTGCCATATGTCATTGAGGACATTTTTGTATGAATTTCTGGGTATTAGAGACCTAATGTCTTCAGCATCCATTTTTTTTACCAGAACTCATATTGCAATTTTTTTTATGTTATTATCGCTTTTCTCTGGCACTCCTTATTACTGGTTCCCATATTCCATTCATTTCTATGCTTGGTTGGCTCGGGAGATTTCTGTGGCCTAGCATATGTGCTGATTCCTTAAGTTTACGAATTTTCCAATGGTGTTCTTTGTCTATGAACAGGAGATAACTGATAACTGACATCCATTAAACATGGCACGTGGAACTAGAACAGTCTACCCCAGTGAGCGAAATAAAGGATTCAGTTCGACATTCCAACCACCTGAAGAAGACCGGAGCGTACAACGGCCGAAACGTTGTAATAACTATGGCGACAAATATGAGGACAATAGTCCGAGTAATGTAAATAGTATACATCTCAGAAATATAGACAGATACTGGATGCGACGGGTCTAATCAGCATGTTGGGTTTCTGTGTTTTGGTTAAGTTTTATAATGTGACAGTTATTGGATGATATTTGATTAATTTTGTCCATGTTTTCTTTTCGTTTTTCAGTTTCCTTATTGACATATTGAATTCTGAGGTTACATTTTTTGTGTGTCTGTTTATGATGCCTATGCTTTTCGTTTACTCTTTTGCTTAATGCTTACCGATCGCTTTATATATGTGATCCACTTCAGCACGACGTGTACTTAGTTATGTGATTCTCGACTTGTTGTTACTGTGTATGTAGTTCTCTTTCATATTTTACAAATTTGATTTATTTTAAAATTTTACAGCGTAAATCAATCTTCACTTAGTAAGCTTAACGCCAGTTAACTCCTCTATATAGTTTATATTCCAGTAGGATTCTTTCTGCGCTGTGTCCATTTAGGACGTAAGCGATCGTGGCTCTCCTCTTCCTCCCTATCTCTTGTAGCTCTCAATATATTTCGTGCCTCTGCCACCTTCCCCAGACCACGTACTGCCATCCACTTGCTTAAGCCCGCCAGGTATGTCATGCGTTGTTTTCCCTTGTCTCTCTTCCCTCTATTCGACCTGTGAGTATCAGATTCTCCAGGCCCTCCTTTCTCATTTGTCCCAGAAATTTCAGCTGCCTTTTCCTTATGTTGAGTAAAAGCTTCCTCCTTGTTTGCATCCTCTCCAAGGCCTCATAGTTGCTCACACGCTCGCTCTATGTTATCCTTAGCATCCTTCTGTAGAACCTCATCTTCGCTGCCTCGAGTCTCTTCTTCATCTTTGAGGAGACCGTCCAACATTCGCTGCAGTATAGGAGGACAGATATCACGTAGCACCTCAGTAATCTTTTCTTTGTCACCCAAAAAAATCCTGCCGTCTCGCAGTACTCTGCCCAGCTTTTGGTATGCATTCTTGGCCATCCCAATCCGTACCTGCTTGATTTTTAGTGTCCCCGACCTGCAAATCACATTTTGGGTTCAGCCTTTTACCAATGACCATGTATTCTTAGGTTATATCCGGTTATATCGCAGAGTCATTTCCACTCACAAATATTGCACCTCCCTTTAAATCTGGCTGGTCCGTCTGCCATTCATGTCATTTTATCGCATATGAGAGATTGATTGATTTGTTTGTTTAACGGTATATCAACACCTCATGGGTCATTAAATCCTGAAATTTAATTTCCTTGGGAACTTTGAAGTAGTGAAAAATAAGTTATTCTGCTTCCACAATTGAATACATGGTAGATAATACTCAGCTTTTTATATGTACATGTTGATTAGTTCGTTGGTTGGCTGATTTTCTTTAACGGCATATCAACATCTTGGGCTCCTAGAGGTGGTGTAATGGTTAGCAACCTTGTCTCGTTAGAACAATTACGACTGAGTAGTCTTCACTGGGTGCTCCCTACTTTCGGCCTTGTGACAGATCTGAGCTACGCTTGGAAAATCACTATATTTGGGCTCCTCGAGGCGGTGTAATGATAAGCAACTTTGTCTCACTAGAACAATTACGACTGAGTAGTGAGTTCGATCCGCACTGAATGCTCCTTACTTTCGGCCTTGTGCCACATCTAAGATACGCTTGAAAAATCGCTATCCACAACCTCTATAGGCTAGTGAATGCCGAAATGTAAATATTTTGAATACAATTTTATACTTTCGGGTTAAAAGTTTTTTTTTTTTTTTTTTTTAATATGTAGTTTGTACATCTCTATCTATAAAAAAATGGTGTGATGTGTGTGTGTGTGTGTGTGTGTGTGTGTGTGTGTGTGTGTGTGTGTGTGTGTGTGTGTGTGTGTGTGATGAATGCACGGCCGCAATTTTCGACGGATTTGCACCAAAAATTTACACGCACATGCTCCAAGTTAGCGGGAAGGCCAAGACCGACTTCGCATTTCCCAACTCACATCGATAGTGGAAATAATCGATTTTTTCATGCTTCTACGGCACTTTTCATGTAGTTTGCGGCCATTTTGTACTGGCCAGAGGGAGAGCCTATAGCTGGCTGCCACGAATAGGCAGGAAGATTCTATTGGCCAGCATGAGAGCCAACAGCTGACTGAAACGAATATTAACTAGCATGCTAGCATGCAAAAAAATCGATAGTTGCATTCGTCACAAGTGGGTAAAATTTAAATCTGCATGGCACTTTACTCCAATTGGCTCATTCGCTT